TTTCTTCATTACCTAACTGTTTTTTTGTGCTTATAATTGCGTAGAGCCCTTCAAGACGCTGTAGGTTTGATCCCAAGAGCTCAGATTGATCTAAGTGCTGAACTCTTCTCAAAGATCATTGATGCAGCATTTGGATACCACCTCGACCCTCCATTCAACCCTTACGAGAACAGCCTAAGTTTCTTTCTGGCTACTTATGCAGTTCCATACATTGGACTGACAGGATATGTTGGCATAAACCCTCTCCTCAAGACTTACCGTAGCAAGCGCATAAGTCTATAATCTTGTTAGCACAAAAGATCACGCAGCAGAGGGACATCTAACACAAAAGTATCAGGTTATAAACCAATCGCGCCCGTCAATTAATTTCCAATATTGAAGTGAGCTCGAGGTCAATTTATTAACGCTTGATTTACAGGTTTCAGCAGGATTATTAGGTGTTGAAGCAGGCCAAGATGCCCGTTATCAGGCTATATCTCTACCAACGGGCAGATCAAGTGGTGGAACTATACCAACACACGGTAGCTGATTTTACAACTCGCATTTCCAATGTCAAAAACCTCTTGGCTAAGGGTGGCAACAAGGATGAAGGCATCCATGTCCACCCAAATCTCGGCGCAGAAAATCAGACCTCAAGCAATGTCCTATCTGCGAATTATTACTCCTCCTCGTACAAACGCTCTCCAGCAGAGATATTAAGGATTGTTTATGTTACCGGTAATGAGGGATCCCCTGGTGGATTTCCTGCCCAAGGGAGCTAATGGAAGGATAGCTCAAGCACTTTTCAAGAATAAATGAGAGGTGTAAACCTATGGCCTTTGATTAAGCACTTTTGATGTTTCGAGGTGTTTGATGCTCTAGATCAGAAGAACTTGAACAATTTAGCTGGAGAAATTATCAAGAATTCTTTAGAGGAAGCTATTTATGTGAATATCTATGTCATTAGTAGGTCGCATTCGCATATTATATAATGCTACATTGGTTTTCAAGAAGTGGTAGGCTTTTACGATAATGGAAATGCTTAAAAAGAACTCCTCTGATAAAAGTATTGTCTGATTAGACAATTTGCAAGCATAGATTTTAGCACGAATAAAAGTTTGTAGGCTTCAAAATTTTAGTCACGAAAAAAAAGGGAAAGCAGGAAATCCTATTGGGCCTTGAAACCAAAATATAAAAGAGTACTAATATGCACTGTTTTGCTCTTAATTTTTCTATAGTGGGAGGACTTGGCAAAAAAAAAAGAAGATGATTGAAGATAGCAGAGTGGGAGACAATAAAAATCCGCTCATCTAAACCTGGATCCAAAACCAGAAACAAAGAATTGGAACTTATCTGATCCTCCAAAACTATATAAATAGTGAAAAAGCTTAATTGCATCGTTGGTTATAAACTTAGAGCAATGTGGCAAGATTTGAGGCATAATCAAGCGAACAACCAGTGGAGGAAGCTGTAGCACTCAGAACGGGAATGATGATGGCCCGAGAAGCACAATGGAAGGAAGAGGAATTCCAATCAGATTGCAAAGCAATAGCGGACATGATCATGGAGGAAAATGTTATGGAATCCAGAACTGCTGTTATACTAGACGATATTGATAACATGAGAGGCTTGTTTGACCAATGTACCTTTTCTTTTGTTAATAGAATAGGTAACATATATGCTCAGTGAAGGCGGTCACTTCGGATCGCCATATCTGAAGTGGTGCCATGGCCGTGATCCTTCCTGTCACATCGGATAGATCTCGGCTAGGTCTCTGCGACCTCTCGTGGGCCTCGGCCTTTATGACCTAGATGGCCGTTGAGGAGGGCCATTTAGGCTCGGATTGCCCAAGGCCTGGTCCTCTGACGTGTCCTGAAAGGCCACCTCGGCGAATCATCCTGCGAGGCGGTTGGAACTCGTTTGCCACCTCGGTTATATGGTCCAGGTCGTATCTCCGAGGTGAACCTTGCATGCTCGACAATTACGGAAAGGAGGGATGTGACCCCTGACACATCTGACGCCTGAGTAATAGCTGCTCTGACACGCCGCCTGAACCTGACGGGATATCACATCACATCTTTTCATAGACTGGTCAAGTCCACCAGATGCACTGACTATCTCAGATCTTCAGGGACTTGTGCAGGTAGTTCCTCTCTCCAATCCGTCCCCTATAAATACACAACACCTCTACTGGAATAGGGGATGACCAATTTCTGGTAGAACGCTATCTCCACTCATTACTTTCTTACTTCTCTATATCCGAACTGACTTAAGTTTCGGAGTTATACCGGGGGATCCAACCCCTTTTCTTATCCAAGCAGGTGACTTCGTCCAAGAGAGTTGCCCAAGGTAAAGGCATTCCTCCAGTTCGGGTGACTCACTCCTGCCGGTCGAAATTCACCTCTTCAATTGGCACCGTCTGTGAGAACGCAAAGATATTAGAAGATGAAGCCTGCGCGTTCTAGGAGCAGAAAAGCTCTCGCTATAGAGGCTGAGCAAAGCAATGCAGCTCAACAAGAAAATATTTCTGAAGGGCAGGAGTCCCCGAGGACTCAGCCCGCAAACGAAGAAGCCATAACCCGTATGGCCGAGTTTGTAACTGAGAACCCAACATCTTTGAAGAGTTGGGGAGATACCTTAAGAGACAAGGCAAACAAAAGCCCGAGTCCTCTAAAAGGAAGTCAGATGGGTCTCCTGAGGACTCATCTGAAGAAGGGTCAGATGGGAGGCGCTTAAGCCGAAGTGCCTCAAAGCGAGCATTTTCTAAGGCTACCTCTAAGGTACCTTTCCTGACCAAGGCGTTTTCTCGAGGGCTCTTGGGGCGACGACCCGAGAAAGAGCCTCGGTCCTTGGGAATACCCGGGGTGGACTGCATGAGGGCTCCACCGTTTACAGATGATATAAACGAGGAAAGGTTTCCTCCCAATTTTAAGCTCCCCGCAGTACAATCTTATGATGGCCGAGGTGACCCCGAAGACCACATCCATGCCTTCATCTCGGCCTTCCGCCTATACTGCATCCCAGACCCCGTCATCTGCAGGGCCTTTTCAGTATTCCTTCGGGGAACAGCTCGAAAATGGTTCTGGGCCCTAGAACCTAGGAGCATATCGACCCTGGGTGAATTAGTGGAAAAGTTTCTCCACCGGTTTGTCTCCTCCCGACCTACGACCAAGACCTCGGCTTACCTGTTCATTGTGCAACAGAATCCGGGAGAGTCACTTCGGTCGTACGTCCGGAGGTTCCATGAGAAAAGCGTTCAGATACCTGACCCCCAATGAGTAGGTAACCCTCGCTGCTTTTACCCATGGACTCGTTGCCGGGGAGTTCAATACGGGGATCCATAAGAAATATCCCCGCACACTGCATGAATTGTGGCTGAAGGTTGAAAAGGGCATACAGGCCGAAGACCTCCACTGCATGAAGAAAGAGGTCCAAGCCACCCGTCTAAGGGCTGATCCCCGAAAGGGAAAAGATGCCAGCCGAGCTGAAGTGGGAACGTGAAGTGGCTTCCGAAATCCTGGCCGGGACCGCCGAAACGTGTTCGACAGGATATCCAAAGGGAAGTCGCCCATTCTCGACTCCGAGTTGACTCCTTTGAACACTTCCCGGTCTCAGGTGTTGTCCGTGATGGAACAAAACAACCTCGGAAAAGCCCCACCGAGGATGTATGGAAGCAGAGACAAGAGGAACTCGAACCTCTACTACTTATATCACCGTGACATTGGTCACGAGACTGAGGACTGCAACGATCTCAAGAGAGAGATCGAGAATCTCATTAGACAGGGGCACTTAAAACAGTTCATCCACCGAGCTGGAGGCCACTAACGAGATGAAAACCGGCGAGACAAACGAGGAGACCGACGCCGAGATGAGCGGCGGACCTCCAGAAGCAGCTGCCGACCTCCTGAGGATCCCAGGGAGACGAAAGGGCCTCCCCCAGACGGATCTGCTGGACATGGGTTGGGATATGGGCCGAACATCGCCGGAGTCATTAACACCATTGCCGGAGGTCCGACAGGAGGAGATAGTCAGAACTCCCGGAAGAGGACCTATAGGCAGGCCAATCCAGATCAGGCCGAGTCGAGTTCTCGCCTGTCCGAGGTGATCACCTACGGACCCAGTGATCCCGTCCCAACTGCCTCCAGCAGTCATGAAACTTTAGTGATTGAAGTCCTCACCAACAACTATATTGTGAAAAAGATCTACATAGACCCGGGAAGTTCAGTTGACGTCATGTACCTCCGCACCTTTGAGAGTTTTAAACTGACCAGGGAGCACATGACCCCGGTGAGAACCCCTCTTGTAGGGTTCGGGGGGCACGTTGTGCACCCCGAGAGAATGGTGACCCTAACGGTAACCGTGGGGCACCACCCCCGCTGCCGAACTATCCCAGTGAATTTTGTGGTGGTTAAGGCTGACTCCCCATACAACTTGCTCCTGGGTCGACCTATTCTTAATGCTCTGCGGGCGGTGTACTCTACATACCACCTAAGTTTTAAGTTTCCTACCCATGCAGGAGTGGCCGAGGTCAGTAGCGAAGTCTGCGCTGCCCGAGAGTGTTACCTCGCCACTCTACAAGCGGCCTCCCCATCAATCTCCGGAACGAGACCCGAGAAGAGGTCAAATATTCTCTCAATAAATAGTATCGATCCTCAGCGAGCTGAGAAGGTCCCGAGGCTGGAGATTGGGGATGAGGTGGAAGAGCTTCCCCTGGACCCCACGAAGCCTGATCAAACAGTTGCGTTGGTACCCGATTGCCCGGTCCTGTCCGAAGAGATATGGTGGACCTCCTCAGAGAATATCGGGACGTCTTTGCTTGGGTCGACGAAGAGGTCCAAGGGGTCCCGCACCATCTCATGATGCATGAGCTGAACGTCGACCCCCAAGTCCGTCCGGTCAAACAGAAGAGAAGGCACCTCGGCCCTGAGCGCAGCCGAGCTGTCGGTGAGGAAGTGAACAAGCTCTTACCCGCTAAAATAATTCGGGAAGTCCAATACCCTACCTGGGTGTCCAACCCGGTCATGGTCAAGAAGGATACGGGGGTTTGGAGAATGTGCGTCGAATTCACCGATCTCAACAAGGCCTGCCCCAAGGACTGTTGCCCATTGCCCAAGGTTGATACCTTAGTAGACTCGGCAATGGGATATGAGATCCTCTGTTTCCTGAATGCATTCAAAGGTTATCACCAAATTGGTATGAGCTAAGAAGACCAGGAGAAGACGGCCTTCTATACTGACCGCGGCACGTACTGTTACACTACCATGCTGTTCGGGCTGAAGAATGCCGGAGCCACTTACCAACGCTTGGTCAACCAAGCATTCAAGTTTCAGATCGGCCGAAATGTTGAGGCCTATGTAGATGACATCCTCCTCAAAAGCCAGACGACCTTCGCTTTTCTGGCCGACCTGAAAGAGGTCCGTGATATCTCCGGAAGACGCGAATGATGCTGAACCCAAGAAATGCGTCTTTGGGGTCACCTCGGGAAAATTTTTAGGTTATCTCGTCTCAAGGCGAGGTATAGAAGCGAATCCGGATAAGGTGCGAGCTATCCAGGAGATGTCTCCACCTCGGTGCGTCCGCGATGTCCAGAGGTTGACGGGGCAGTTGGCCGCCCTGAACCGGTTCCTATCGCAGTCAGCCTCCAAAGCTCTGCCATTTTTCAAAGTATTGAAGAAAACTGACCACTTCTCCTGGATTGAAGAGTGTCAACAGGCGTTTGAGCAGCTGAAGGATTACCTTCACTACCTTCCCACGCTCACCTCACCTCGACCGGGGGATAAGCTGATCTTATATCTTTCTGTTGCGGTGGAGGCCGTGAGTGCCGTGCTGATAAGGGAGGAAGGAGTCCAAATGCCCGTCTACTACGTTAGTCGAGTTCTCCGAGGTCCCGAGACAAGGTACACACAAGCGGAGAAACTTGTGCTGGCCCTGATCCACGCAGCCCGCAGACTCAAGCCCTATTTCCTAGCTCACCACATCTGTTTGAGGACTGATCAACCACTCCGGCAGATCCTGACACGACCTGAGGCTTCGGGACGTCTTACCAAATGGGCCATTGAGTTGGGGGAGTATGACCTCTCTTATGAACCTCGCACAGCCATCAAGACCCAGACTCTCACGGACTTTTTAGTCGAACTCACCTTTGACGAGGTGAAAGAACCCATCCGAGCTACCACCCCGGTGACAGCTGAAGTGGCCATCGCTGGGCTCCAGCGATGGATTCTACACGTGGATGGATCGTCCAACAGTGAGGGTAGTGGAGCAGGCTTGCTCCTCGAAGACCCTCAAGGAGATGTGTGCTCGTACGCCCTGAGGTTTGACTTCACTGCCTCCAACAACGAAATCGAATACGAGGCTGTCATTGCCGGCTTACAACTAGCTCGAAAGCTCGGGGCCGCACACATCTTGGTCTATAGTGACTTCCAACTCGTCGTGTGCCAAATATTAGGCGAATACGAGGCCAGGGAAGAGGTGATGCATCGCTACCTCTCTAAGGTCCTCCAACTGGTGGCACACTTTGAGTCTTTCGAAATTCAAAGGATACCACGGTCACAGAACCGGAGGGCTGATGCTCTCTCCCGGCTCGCCTCTACTTCTTTTGCCGACCTGAACAAGACGGTTCTCGTGGAAGTCCTATCCGAGCCGGGGTACGAAGGAGAGGTTGTATACCCCATTTACCCCGGGGACACCTGGATGGGGCCTTTGACTCGATTTCTCAGTCAGGGTGAGCTTCCAGAAGACCGAGGTGAAGCACGGAAGCTTCAACGAAAAGCAGCTCGGTACATCCTCCGACAAGGCCTCCTATACAAGAGGTCTTACCTCGACCCCTAGTTGCGGTGTATCACCCCGGAAGAAGGTAAGGGAGTCCTTCAAGACATTCATGAGGGATTTTGTGGTGCCCACGTCGGTTTCAGGATGCTCATGAAGAAAGCCTTGCTGCTCGAATACTTCTGGCCCACCATGAGGGTAGATGCCCAGGTCATGGTACTCTGTTGCCCTTCTTGTCAGCACCACGCTCCTGAGCACCACCAACCGACTAATCTTATGATCCCCATCACTTTGCCATGGCCATTCGAGCAGTGGGGAATTGACATAATCGGCCCCTTTCCAAAAGCTCCAGGATATTATGCCTATGTGGTGGTAGCAGTAGACTATTTCACCAAATGGGTCGAGACCGAGCCCCTGAGAAGCATAACCGGAGTTGCTGTTCAAAAATTCTTTTGGAAGAACGTGTTGTGTCGCTTCGGCCTGCCCCGGGTGGTCATCTCGGATAATGGCAGGCAGTTCGCAGACAATCCTTTCAAGGCGTGGTGTGAAAACTTGGGGATTAAGCAGCATTTCACCTCGGTTGGACACCCACAAGCAAATGGACAAGTCGAAAATTTCAACCGAACTCTCCATGGACTCAAGACTAGGCTCCACCGGGCTGGATCGTCCTGGATGGAAGAGCTCCCCAGTGTGCTCTGGTCCTACCGAACTACGCCGAGGTCAACAACCCAAGAAACCCCGTTTTCCTTAACCTACGGGTCTGAAGCTGTTGTCCCAACCGAGTTCATCACACCAAGCCCGCGTATGGCCGCATATGCTGCCGAGGCCAATGAAGAGGAACGACGAGTTGATCTCGACCTCGCCGAGGAAAAGCGTGATATGACCGCAGCTAAGATCGCCATTTATAAGAATATCCTAACTGGTTACTACAATGCTCGGGTCAAGCACTTGCGGTTCAATCCGAGAGACCTTGTTCTAGGGAAGAACTCAGTTAGTCGAGTTGAATCTCAGGGTAAACTAACCCCCAAGTGGGAAGGACCTTACCGTGTTGTTGAGTCCAACCAAAATGGATATTGTAAATTAGCTTACCGAGATGGCTCTCGAGTGCTCCGGACTTGGCATGCTGAAAACCTTAAGTTGTATTACCCTTAAAGAGTACGTGTTCTCAAATTTCAGTTCTCCAAGTTATTTCTCACTTGTTCAAATTTCAATTTATTTTCTTCAAGTGAAAAATAAGGGGACAAAGCAGTGTTCAAAATAAGAAAAGTTGAATTCAATTCGATCAAAAAAGAGGCAAAAAATATGCGAGAACAAAAAGTTGATTTCATTGAAGAACAAAAAGCAAAAGGCCGAGGTCATAGAGGAGTGCTTCTAAGCACCTCCTACCCCGGCATCCTGACCGCTTACCCCGGCATCCTGACCCCCCATGGTCGCGCCTCCCGTTTCGGCATCCTGTCCTCCCTCAGCTCCTCCGCCGGCTTGGTCGTCTTCAGTACCATCTATCTCAAACTTCTGGAGCCATTTGTTGAACTCGATCCGGATCTCGGCTAGGTCCCTTCCAGTTTGGATTCCCTCAGCCATGCAGTCGCACAGCTTCTTGGCGTCCTCATTATAGTGAGGAGTGCTTTGAAGGGACTCCAGCTGTTCAGAAGAGAGGAAGGGCGCTGCATCATTGATGGCCGAAGTGTAGCCAAGCATGAAGCTCGGTCGCGTAAGCTCCCCGAGGTCGCGCGTGAAGGATTCCGAGCTGCGGAAGGACTCCACGGCAGTTACCCCGGCCTTATTTATGGCCTCCTTGGTCGACTGCTCCTCTTGGGCCCTTCTTCATCTCTCCTCGTCAAGGGCGGTGACCAAGGAATTGTTCGCGACCTCGGCCTTCTTCCTTGTCGCCTCGGCCTTGTCGCGCTCTAGCTCAGTTGCCTTCAGTTTTTCTTCCAGGTCGGCAATCTTCTTCTGGAGCTCGGCTGGTGGCTCAAAGGTTTCCATAAAACGCCCGTAGCGTTGTATCATTTCAGCAAAGAAGGCCGTGGTGGAGGCTCAGGAGACTGAAGCACTTTGCATCTAGGCCTGTCAACGGGTCGGGTCCGGGCCGGAATCAATAAATCCGAACCCGGACCCGTAATACCGTATTAATTCCGGAACCGGCCCAAATACCCGACGGGTCTCTTAATCTCTATCTGGAACCGCACCCGACGGGTCCCGGGTCGGGTAGGGCCTACCCGAATAAGACCAGTAAAAAAACCTGATTTACACCTTCATCTTTATCCTTGCCCTCATTTTATTATCTGCCTGAGATCCTTTCTTTCTATCATCTTCACCTTTTCTGCTGACCTTAATAACTAGTTATAGCAATCAAGCGCATTTTTCCATTTTTCATAATCTAGACGCATTATTATTGAATTTTGCTCCTCGATTTTTGGAGTGCAAAATCTTTCAAATAACTTTGTGCAGAGACCAAATAATAACAAATTATTTTCTTGGTGAAAATTAGAGGCCGAGCAACAGGGCTTTTGGATTTCTTTCTTTTTTTTTTCCTTTCAACAAGAACCTCTCAAATGCTTGGGAGTGATCCACTTGCCTACTTTATTGTCATGGTATCATATCTTGTAGTAGCAAAAAAACAAAGAGCCAGTTGCTGCACAATCCAATAACTATCCAGCAAACTTTGCATTTGAGATGAGGTTACCGAAAGAATGCGATGCAAATATCGTCCACTTTCAATTGTAGGTTTTCTGGAGACGTGCCTTCTCCTTTACAATTCTTTTCGGCTTTTCTAATTTTTCTTCTCCCTATTAAATAAAAGGGGGATAAAAAAGGTAAAGCAGACGAGACAAGAAAGCTGGCCTGCTGGAAGCCTGGAAGAGCTGGAAGTGTTGGGCTTCGACCGGAGCTGCAACCGCCAGGCGTCAGAGATGGAGAGAGCTCGCCGGCGTCAGAGATGGAGAGTGCAAGAGAGAAGACAGTGAGACTAGACCGGGTTGGGCTTCTTTGGAGCTGGCCAGACTCGACGGTAACGATGATAGCTGGGCTTCTTTGGAGCTGGAGAGAGTCGAGAGCGTCGCCGGAGATGGAGAGATGGAGATGGGAGAGCGGACTGGTCAGCGGTCACTAGCGGAGGTGGGAGACAGAGCAAAAGAGAAAAGAGAGTGAGGGGAAAAGGGAGGTGCAGGTGCGGCGATGGGTATTAGGGTTCGAAAGAATTGGGAATGAAATTATGAAAGTAGTATTGGTATGAATAATTGATAGATAGGTATATATATTTTAATTATTAATTAATTAAAACGGGTCCGGGTCGGATACGGGTCGGAATGGTATATCCCGTATCCGACCCGCAAATGTATTAGATAATATGGGTTCGGGTCGCGGGCCTATATTCCTATCCATACCCGTCAAATGTTGGCGGGTTCGGGCCGGGTCCGGGTCCAGACCCGGACCGTCGACAGCCCTATTTGCATCAGCTCGCCCGGAGTGAGCTTTCTAGTATAAATGCTGTCCCGAGGCAACACCGAGTGCACCAGAAGCTCCTGGGCAACCAGAGGGTTCTTACAACGATCGTTGACGTTGATCTCCCACTCCGGACACCAGTGCGATCCGGGGTGCCTCTTGTCCTCCTCGGCCGCCTTGGAAGCCATGTGGTGGAGGTTGAACAAAGAGGACCCCGTGACGGGATTATCGGGGAACGCAGTCACGCCCTGACCCCGAGGTGGAGTGGCTATCGTGACCCCTCGGATGGGGACCCCCACAGGAATAGCCGAGGCACGGGAGCCTCCCGGAGAGGCCGAGGTGTGTGAGCCCTCGCCCACGATCACTACGGTTGGCTCGCGGTCGCTTGTCGCTGCGGTGGTCTTCTTAGCAGACCTGGCGGAGGGCTCAGCGGTGCCCTTGCGCTTCTTGGGTGGTCTCTTTGCCACCTCGACGTCTCCCGAGGTTATCAGGTCAGAAACCTTCACCACTGCAAAGAATGAGGAAAAGTTAGTTAGAATTCGAGAAGGAAAAACAAAAAAGGGAAAGCGAAAAAGTACAAGGTCGGTGGAGCCTAGTAGAAAGGAGGACGGGGTGGTCCGAGCTGATCAGTGCTCGGCTGAGCCCGCCCTCTACGAGAACCATTTCGGGAAAGTCCCAACAATTAATCCTGAGACCCGACCCCAGTAGCTTCTGGAGGTTGTGTTCTTCCAGCTTGCTCGGGGAGGTTTCTTTTACCGAGGTGGGGGGCCTCCACCAGAACCCCCGAGGAAAGTTCTCAGCCGGGACGAAGAAGAAGTTATGCTTCCACTCCTTTATTGAGCTCGGGGCTTCCACCACTAATTTCGGGACTTTGTTCCCGAAGTAAAACCAACCATTCTCGCTCCCGCTGTTCTTAAGTGAGTAATAGCGGTGGAATAGGTTAACTGTGGGTTCTATCTCCTGGTGGCGGCATAGCAGTTGGAAGCCGACGAGGACGCGGATGGCATTGGGGGTGAGTTGAGTGATTCTCACCCCCCAGAACCTCAAACAGTCCCGAAAAAATCTTGTGGTAGGCACCCTGAGTCCGGCCTCTAGTTGTTCCACATAAATAGCCATCCTATCCTTTGGTGGCAGTGCGGCAGATTGGTGAGGCTGGGGTATGTAAATACTGTAATCCCTCCTCCAGGGGTACTTGCGGATCACCTCGACTACAGAAGCTTGCACCAACTTACTCCCAAAGGTCGGCATCAGGCCGTAGTTAAGAGAATCCACGTTCGGAGGGGTGGAAGGCTCTTGTAGACCCCCGTCCCTTGGGACTTCGGTTCCGAGGTCATCGTTGTATAAGACCTCGGGATCGACCTCGATCCCCTCGTGCTGTTCCACAGATGTCCCAGCTCGGTGAGATGACTCTGCACCTCCTCCCCCGACGTCGGAAGCAGTTCTCTTCTCGGAGGGGTCAGGCCTCTCTGCCTCGGTAAAGTCAGGCCGCACTGTCTCTTTGTGAGTACGAGCTGTTCTAGCCATTGTATCAGAAGGAAAAGAAGTAAAACTTACTTAGAAGATGTGATCTGAAGGAATTGCCGAAGAAGATGTGGTTTAGAAAGACTGCCGAAGTCAAAAGACAAAGAAACAGAGCTCTGGGGTGATTCACAATTTTTGGTAAAGAAAGAGACGGTGAAAAAAGGCTCCTATTTATGGGCGACAGGGGGAAGCCGAAGAGACGCGATCTTTGGGATTCCCTAAAAAACTCTCTCTCTCTCCTCATTAATGACGGTGCTGTTCATCTGACACTCGATTTGACTGACCCGACGTTAAAGTTGACAGCCCCTGTTTTCACCTCTCTCCTAGTCCCCCCTGCACAGTCATGACGTGTCTGTGTCCCGTGCCTTGCACACTTGTCAGCCTCGGGAAATAACGACCTCGGCGAGTACCGTGCTCGTCCTTCCCAAAGCTTGGGGGGCTTAGTGAAGAGGGCCATTTAGGCTCGGATTGCCCGAGGCCTGGTCCTCTGACGTGTCCTGAAAGGCCACCTCGGCGAATCATCCTGCGAGACGGTTGGAACTCGTTTGCCACCTCGGCTATATGGTCCAGGTCGTATCTCCGAGGTGAACCTTGCATGCTCGACAATTACGGAAAGGAGGGATGTGACCCCTGACACATCTAACGCCTGAGTAATGGCTGCTCTGACATGCCGCCTGAATCTGACGGGATATCACACCACATCTTTTCATAGACTGGTCAAGTCCACCAGATGCACTGACTATCTCAGATCTTCAGGGACTTGTGCAGGCAGTTCCTCTCTCCAATCCGTCCCTTATAAATACACAACACCTCTACTGGAATAGGGGATGACCAATTTCTGGTAGAACGCTATCTCCACTCATTACTTTCTTACTTCTCTATATCCGAACTGATTTAAGTTTCGAAATTATACCGGGGGATCCAGCCCCTTTTCTTATCCAAGCAGGTGACTTCGTCCAAGAGAGTTGCCCAAGGTAAAGGTATTCCTCCAGTTCGGGTGACTCACTCCTGCGGGTCGAAATTCACCTCTTCAGCCGTCGTATCTCGGCCGCACGCGGGAGATATCAGCTGTCCTGACATGTCATTAAGGGCCACCACTTTAACTGAAAACCCTAGGACCCTTTATTGGGAATATGCGTGACCACCTGACAAAGTGCCTGAACTATTATCCCTTGTCAGGAACAGAG